GTCCTAAAGGTTCATCCATGTTGTTATGTGTCAAACTTTCTTTTTAAGGCTGAATAATTCATTGCACATATATAGCACACTTTGTTTATCCATTTGTCCACTGATAGATGTTTGGGTGGCCTCACCTTTTGGCTGTTCGGAATAGTGCTGCCATGAACATGGTGTGCACATATCTCTGCGACCCTCTGCTTTCAGTTTATTTGGGTATATACCCAGAAGTGGAATTGCCGGCTCATATATTCTTTTAATTTTTTAAGGAATCGCCATTCTGTTTTCCATAACAATCGCACCGTTTTACATTCCCACCAAAAGTGCACAAGGGTCCCGGTTTCCCCCCATCTGAGGGTTCCACTTTCTCCCCATCCGAGGGTCCCAGTTTCCCCCCATCTGAGGGTTCCACTTTCTCCCCATCCGAGGGTCCCAGTTTCCCCTCATCTGAGGGTTCCACTTTCTCCCCATCCAAGGGCTCCGGTTTCTCCCCATCCGAGGGCTCCAGTTTCTTCCCATTCGAGGGTCCCAGTTTCTCCCCATCCGAGAGTTTCCATTTCTTACCATCAGAGGGTCCCAGTTCCTCCCCATCCGATAGTTCCAGTTTTCTCCAATCCTTGCCAACACTTGCTGTTTTCTTTTCATAGTAGGCATTCTGATGCATATGAAGTACCTAATTTCTCTTATGGTTCCTGTTTTGGCCTATAAATTTTATTTATTTGTTTTGAGACAGAATCTTGCTCTTGTTGATTAGGCTGGAATGCAGTGGGGCGATCTCAGCTCACTGCAACCTCTGCCTCCCAGGTCCAGGCCATGCTCTGGCCTCAGCCTCCTGAGTAGCTGGGATTACAGGTACCCACCATCATGCCTGGCTAGTTTTTATATTTTTAGTAGAGACAGGGTTTCAGCATGTTGACCAGGCTGGTCTCAAACTCCTGACCTCAGGTGATCCACCAGTCTTGGCCTCGTAAAGTGCTGGGATTACAAGCATGAGCCACCGTGTCTGGCCTATATTTAAACATTGGAGCTAGGCATGGTGGCACATGCCTGTAATCCTAGCTTCTTGAGATGCTGAAGGAAAAGGATTGCTTAAGCCCTTAAGGAGTCTGAGGCCAACCTGGGTGACACAGTGAGACTCCATTTCAATCAAAAATTAAATCAAGAATAATTAAATATTTAGTTGGTTCTTTTTAATAATGTGAGCAGCTTCAAACTCACCACCACAAAATAAAGCTAGGACTTTAACAGTAGCCCAAGCAACATACCCCACCTGGCATCCTGCCCTCCTATCCCATTCTCTGCTGTTCCACCCACTCAAGGTAACCATTGTCTGAATTCCATGTGCACATGTTTTCTTTTTCTGTGGTTTTATTTTTCCATTTATTTATTTATTTAGAGACGGAGTCTTGCTCTTGTCGGCCAAGCTGTAGTGCAATGGTACAATCTTGGCTCACTGCAGCCTCCACCTCCGGGTTCAAGCAATTCTCCTGCCTCAGCCTCCCAAGTAGCTGGGACTACAGGCATGTGCCACCACACCTGGCTAATTTTTTGTTATGTTTAGTAGAAATGGTATTTCACCATGTTGGACAGGCTGGTCTCGAACTTCTGACCTCAGGTGATCCACCCACCTTGGCCTCCCACATAGCTGGGATGACAGGAGTGAGCTGCTGTGCTCAGCCTGGTGCTTTATCTTCAGTAGTTGCCCAGTCGTCCACTAGGAAAGCGACTGGGGCCACAGAACCCTGGATTTTGTCTTCATTCAAGGCCCAACCATCTCTACTGTCCTGTGTCTGAGAAGCATGCAGAGAAGTGTGGGCAGTTTCCTCAGTGGGAGCCGTTCTCAGAAAATCATCAATGAAACAAGATATCAGGACACCACCAGTTGTTCATGCTATGCATATGTTTGATCCACTGGCAACATTTGCAAGAGAATCAAAAAGTCCCTGTGGGAGGTGTGGAGGCACACCATATGCCTCGCCTGGTGACACTGAGGAATGAAGAATTAGCAGTGCAGGCTGGGCACGGTGGCTCACACCTGTAATCCCAGCACTTTGGGAGGGTGAGGCAGCCAGATCACCTGAGATCAGGAGTTTGAGACCAGCCTGGCCAACATGGCAAAAACCCTGTCTCTACTAAAAAAAAAAAAAAAA